CAAGATGCAATGCTCCTAAAAAATGCTGGCAAAAGTTCAGATTATTTTCAGTTCGGGTACACTATTCAAAATTTCAAGCTTTTGAGTAATAACTCGGATGTAAGTTTTTTTTATCGAGTGCTTTCACCTTTTTGTTTAGCTATTTTCAATATCCAAAATATAATTAAGCGTTTGATAATATGAATAAACGTCACAAATAACAAGAATTTGTGGAAAGCCATAATTGACCCTGTCCTAAAGGTACACGGCACATCAGGAGAAGAAAATAGATTTGGGGTATCTGTTCCGTTGGTTCTTCTTTTACCATTTCTTCCGGGTGGATCTTTTTTGATTTCCGATGTCACCAGCTTATTGTAGAGATAGAGGATGTTCCAATAACTTGAACCGATTTTAAATGTGAATTAAGTTTAAGCGTCCAATGATTTTTCTTTTTCTTTCAGATTTGGTGGACGATATTATTTTTCACACATAATTGTCATGAGTTAAATAACATGATCTAATAGAGAAATAAATAAATTTTCACCAATAACACTGATTTATTTACTGCGGACTTTGATCCGTCTTAATGAAACACCCTTATATATAATCCGTCTTAATGAATAACCCTTTATTTCATGAAAGATATGGATATTTATATAAGAGACGAGAGAGACAAAAATGAAATTACAAACAATATTGTACATATAACAACATTTTAATGCCTTAACAAAACTAATTAGGTAGAATACGTAGAGGTAAATGGAAGTGTGTGTATAAAGATGTCTTTATTCGTGCATACGTTATATCAAAATTTCTACTGAAGAATTTGTAAAACTTACATTGGAGAAGAATTTTTTGTTAGTTTGTTACCAACTCAGGGAATTTATATACTGTGTTGTTTCCGTACGACAAATGTTCTACTGGAGTTTAAGAAGTCCTCCAGAGGGAAATGAGACACGTCTTGTCTCTTCGATGTCTTGTGCAAAAAGAGAGGTCACGTTCAACTTGTCCTCTGATTGGCCAGTCCACAAGACCCTCAACTAATGCCGTCTCATTCTTCCAACTCTATATGTCTCTCTGCTGCTCCACATTTACAACTACCAGAAATCCACAGCTGCACCTAACTGCAGGTGGTTGACCTTTTGATTTATCAAAGCCGTGGTAATATTTCCGACTACACTGATGTCACTCCTGTCCTCAGGGCAATCAGTTCATCTTTATAACTATAACTGCTAGGAATAAAAACTGGCACGTGTTTTTTTGTTTTTTGGGGTTTTTTTTTTTTCTTTTAGCTCATTTTTTAAAATTTCAGCTTTCTTCAGCCGTTTGTGTATTGTCATGGCAAATTCAAAAGGCCACACGCAACTCTTTTAGCAAAACATATTAATCAGATGCTAACTATTATACTTTAATCAAACACCTTATTCAGCTTTGAGTTCTTTATTTTAATAAAAACTTCAAAAATCAAAACTGAGGCGATTTTTATAGTTAACATACGATGTAGAGCTGAAATGTTCTCCTCGGCTTTCCCTACTTTCGAAAATTTGTTCAAATGATCAAACATCCGGTTTTTCGTGCGGAAAAAGAGAATTTTTCCATATCTCCCTGGTATGTGTATCATCAATAAATATTTGGTGTAAAACGAGAAATAAAAAGCTTTCATATTATATTCGTGAAAATTATCCGAACTTCGGCAGAGGAATTTGGAATTTAGTCTCTGGGATATATATTAATGGCTGCTTGCTCGTTTCTGAGTATTTTCTCCTGCCTGCTGGTGACCTAATCCCTCTTGCCAACACCGGCTCAGACACATTTATGTTTCTTCAACAGCCACAGAGCCAACATTTTGCTTATACTGCTACTATACTGAGTGAAACTTAGTTACAGATCTGGGTGGGAGCTAACGATCTGGCGTGATCAGTTGTTGAACAAGGTCTCGATCATGATTATTCATGCTAGTACAACCATCGACGGCTTCCGAACAGTCTCGCCTACCCAATTTAACTCTTGGGTCAACCTATGGTATAGCTTTCAGGTATTTCCCAACTAAGTTACACGATGGGATCGTCAGCTTCCAATCTACTTTTGACAAGAACTCTCCACCTTGACAAATTGACTATTGTGTGATTCGAACTCAGTTTTCCATAGTCGGAACGCTAACATTCTAATCATTCGGACATAATCGTTGTTTATGGCCATCTGCTAAGCGTAGCTTTTAACACAAGATCTATTGTCACATGGCCACATCACGTTGAAACATCGGTTCCCGTACGATCACTGAAATTAAGCAACGCTGAGTCTGCTCAATACCTACATGGGTGACAGCTTGGAAATATCAGGGCTTTAAGTTTGGGTGTTGGGGATGGTTTAAAGGATAATGGCTCGAAATTGTTAATCGGAGAGCCGAGTTCCAATTCTTGGGAAAGGTATGAATCCACCTTTTCTCCCCCAGCTATGGGTCAATTAGTAATATTTGTATCACTGAGTCATTATTTTCTCAAAAGAAATCTTTCAATCTAAAAATATTTTCTGGCTTTAAATAACCTGCAAAGGGTTGATAAGCCATAGAAAGCGTATCAATCAATCATACAAGATTTATGAATTAATATCCATAGATCTTAAGGGGTCAGTAGGCTTTATATGTCAGCTGGAATCAGTATACGACTGTATCAATATAGTGTGCTAATTGGTCTATATGGAGTTGGTCGAATATAAGTTGGGCAATTCCTCTTTTCTGCCACATTATCTTTGGCTATATGTGAATTCCCTTGGGATTTTCTCATGTATGTCTGTGGGGATAATGAATTGTTTGTTTACAGCCTCAAATAAAAAAAAAACAATCATTTCAGCTTTCATTTCAATAAATACATGCCCTGTCGGAAATTCATGTTTCATCACTGATTTGTAAGTTATTGAAATCTGCGCTTCACAAAATAAAGTAGCTTTTTTGTCAATGAAAGCCATACTTTTCTCAAATAAATTTTGGATGCAAATTTAAAGTTTATTTTCTAAACCATGTATGACTACTTTCATTTTTATCAATTTTATTATATCAGTTTCGACATTACATATGCTTATGGCACTCTCAGTTTTTATATAGACGAGCCATCACGTTAATCCATTCAACCAGTTGTATAACATTATTATTGTGTCATAAAGAAAATCCGACCTTTTCCAAACAAAAACAACCGTATGAATGATAAAAATTACGCCTTGTTTTTCTCTTTTCACTAACAGCATACCCGATTTCTTTGATACTATCGGTTTTAAAAACAAATGATACATATTATATTTAAAAAACCCGAAGCAACCAATATTAAAAATTATCACATGTGGTTAACTTACTGATATATCTGTGACAATATTTTCTATTTTTTAGGCAACTTATAATTTTTTATTTTGTCTAATTTTTAAATATTTTGTTTATTTTTTTTTTTTAATATTTTGTCTATTTTTATATCTATTGTGCATTTCAGTATCTAATATTTTAACATCTTTAAACTGCTTCAGATGGTTTTCTGTCTATACTTAAACCCAGTCTATATCTCTTCATCAATAATTACCGTTTTAATTCTCATTTAATTTTTTTCCTGATACAAATCATGAGTGCATTTAAAAATTGTCACGATAGGTAACTAAGAGTTTAATCTGACAATGCCGTGATCAAACATTTTCTAATTAAAAATAAATTTTGATTATACCAACAAGAAAAAGGTCGTCATTATCAAAGATAACGTGTAAGAAAATGGAGACTAAATCTTGCAACGAGTACTTCAGCAAATGTCTAGTAACGGCGTCCCAGTTAAATGTTTTTACAACTGGGTCACTTATTCAAATGAATCGTTTGCTCTTTTGAATTCTGGTTTATGGTCGCTTTTTATAAAGGACTCAGATGAAAAGTGTTTGTTATGATTTAGTGAGCATAAATGATTTAACATTAACAAAATCTTATTGACATGAGATTTCAAAGTTGTTTTTAATTTATTTCTTTGTTCACCCATTTCATATATATCTGTGAGTTGAGTCAGTCAAGTCAGTACTTTCTGAGCGACTGTTCGGTTGTACTCTCTTCCTACGGACGGGAGGAACCCGAAGGAGGCTACGCCGAAGGGCGGAGTCTCCTTCGGGGAGGTAGACCGGCCCTGAACCCGTTAATACGGGTTCAATGGGCATATTTTTGGCCGAGCCCACGGACTCGGAATGCCCACGTTAAAAAGGCCTTGTGCCACATGACACCCTTGTGGGGGGGGGGGTGACTGAATATCGTAATGAACTAGATGCTTTTAACGGACGGGAGACTACCTAACGTAACTCTACGCTACTTGCGACAAATTTGAACCCTCATTTCTTTTTCAGACATATCTCGAGCATTAACCTATCAATTTCCAATCTGGCACAGTGAAAGGAAACTCTGTACACGTGACACTAACCGGCAATCACACCGGCTCAGAGATAACCAGCTCCTTGAAAATGGATAGGTGATCAAGAGCAATGACAAATTCCTCTCCACGTAATGATGTACGTCTATGATAATCCCGAGGTTCGTGAATATGTCATGTAACTCCGCTTCTTCCCGCAGGTCTCCAGGGTTAATCTTACCAATTGCATCGATATGCTGGACACGGTGGTCAAAACCTGCATCTAGGAGATGACCATACGTATTCAAGCAGGACTATGTTCATGGACTTCGTAATACAACGACATGCCGAAAATTGTTTCTGTTATGTTATTACCCCCACTAACAAATGTGTCCTTTTATCCCTCCGGATTTTAACCCTCATTGGCTCGGTTGATCGGGAGACCAACCAGCGACTCCACTATATCAAAGACTTGTTGAAAGCCGCCATTATGAGCTCGATAGCCAATATAAACGAGAACACCCTGACCCAGATGTACAATCACGAGACCGCCATCGAAGTTTTACATACCGCAATTTTTTTAATGAATATATTGATTTTTATTGAATATCTTTTTTTTTTATTGAATATCTTTATTTTTAATTACAATTTGTTCTCATTTACCTAGCACAATAGATAGATAGATAGATAGATAGATAGATAGATAGATAGATAGATAGATAGATAGATAGATAGAATTTCTTTTTATTTACAAAATTAACTCCATCAGAAAAAGAGGATTTCCAAATGCAATTTTGATGCCTGGTAAGTCTTACGTTAAGGGCTTCTTCTAATGCAATTACAGGGATTTATTATTAATTTCGCCTTTATACATTGAAGATCACATGTCTGTAATTAAGTGCAGCCCGAAATTTTATGATTAAAGATCCCTTAACCTGACTGCTTTTGCAAATAAGTTAATATACTGATTGACTCCAGTAGAATGGAACGCGAAAGATTCCTAATATCTTGAGATAGGCACATCACTAAGATTTCAAGTCTAATTCTTCAAAAATCTCGACCAAAAATCATGCTATTCAATTCCTGTGGGGGATTTATTAATCATAAAACACTTACTGGCGCAAATAGTTATCAGAGCGTTATTAATTGATTATCAAAAAAGACATCACTGAGAAAAAAAAACAGCGAATTTCAGTTTTCAATCAAATATTCTCGTCAAATGAAAAAGTAGAACTCCATAATTAAAAAATATATGACTGGCATACAAACCAAACCTTTGTAAAAATCTAGTGTGTACAGTTGACGCAAAGTAGATAGATAGATAGATAGATAGATGCGAAAGTGCTGAGAAGTCCTCAGCTCTCAGTCCGACCAAGAATCCATATATATATATATATATATATATATATATCCAGGTAAAATGAGAACAAATGGAATATAATTCCACTATACGTAACATTTAATTTAAAAGAGGGCTCAATAGAGAGTAGAACTATATATTATTTATTTTAAGATATTAAAACAAAAACATGTTAAAAATTGCAACACAATTACAATCATGTTTCAACACTCAAAATGTGTCGCCTCAGGCGATGTTAAACTATTGGCAAGTGAACAATTAATTTAATTTCAAAAGCAGAATACTTTCTCTTTTTTCAATAAAAAAAAACAGAATAAAAAGGCTTGTGAGCTTTGCCGTGATTAACCAATCGGATGTGATCTATGCTAAATTCAAACTCATCTAAAAAAAAAATTAATGTAGGTCTAGACAATTTCCTTATGGACAGATACAATTGGTTACATTATTACGTAAGATGTATTTAAGTCTGGCGTTCAACGAATCTTACAAATAAAATAGTAAGCCACATAAGGTGCACCGCAGTTTATCTACTGATTATTACTATAGGAAAAAGTATTATCAAATTCAAAGTTTAAACATATTGTAAGGTAAAAGGTGGATATGCCTACAATTCAAAGTTACTTTTTTAGTTTAATAAGAAGTTTTATCAGAAAATCTGATAATTTCTAATTTTTCATGTAAGCATAGAAAACAGGGTTCATTTAAAGATCTAAAGTTTCTGGCTTTTTTTTTTAAATTTTCCATTTTACCTTAGGAGTTTTATTAGCTTCTTTTAAATTACAAAGAAAATTTAGAAAGATATGAACTATTTTATAACTACTATTGGTGAAGGATAACATATATTCATACCACCTAGTCTTAAAAGAATTCTCAGTACTACCAATATAAGATTTTTCAACAGTCGGATTCTCCATTGTAGAAATAGTAATTAGATAAACAAGAGAGTTGGTTGAATATTGGTTACGTAATTAGCATTCGTTAAAATTCTTCCATTTATAATGCTTAATATTATCAACAGTATTTATCTTGGAGTGTGCATTATTATCCAAATTTTTAAATTGGTTTAAAATGTTATTATTGTGTTTCTTTATAATCGTCTCAAGATTATCGGTACATAATTATTATTATTATTATTATTGTTGTTGTTGTTGTTTCTGTTGTAGTTAGACTATTAGATAACATAGAAGCATGATGAGGAAAATGTTAAAAATCGGAACTTTTGTACACACCTGTGTCCTTTCTAAGCGAAAGAGAGAGAGAAAGGGAAAGAGTGTGTGTGTGAGAGAGAGAAAGAGAGAGAGAGAAACAAAGGACAGGAAGTTGTGAAAAATCATGATCGTCCCCGTCATGAATAGCGATGAATATTAACATCATAGATTGAACATTACACACTGAACATTTCAGAGCAAAATTCGGTTAATTACATATGGACATTAATCTCCCCTAGTGTATATATATATATATATATATATATATATAGAGAGAGAGAGAGAGAGAGAGAGAGAAAGGAGAGAGAGATGGGGGGAGTAGCGAGTGAAAGAAACTTTTAATATATTTCTTATCAAAAGAAAATATTTTTAGGTCCAGTGAGTACAGATTGAGTGCTTCTGGATATTTTCAAGATCCGGGTTTCTACCGACGCGTCGCTTTTACTATAATTCAATTACTTTCTAAAACTAGGTGTGGTCGTTATACTTTATGTCAACGTCACGGAAAGGTAACTGCCTAGTGACATTCTTCATTGGATAAATGAATCGTCAGTTTTACTTGTCCGCCGTTTTTTAATGATACGTATAATATATATATATATTTAATTAATTCATCGAGTCTGATAGAAACCTCAACAGAATGCAGAAAGCACTGGACGGCCGTTTCGTCCTATATTTGGGACTCATCAGCAGTGCGCATCCACTACCGAGAATTGAAACCCTAGCAGTTAGGTTGTCAAGCAAACATCATACCAACTAATGTTCTAATGGGCCTCGGTGACGAAGAGATTGCAAATCAGACTCAATTTGGGCTCTCTCTCTCTCTCTCTCTCTCTCTCTCTCTCCATATATATATATATATATATATATATATATATATGTGCGTGCAAGTTGAGGTGGGGGGGGGTGAACATTTTTAGAAAATCTTAGTAATGCGTTTCGTTCCGCAAGAGAATTTCTTAAGACTAATAACGATTTTATTAATGGAACCTGCCTTATATATAAAAGGAGGGCGTAAAAAAATACGACAAATGTCGGTTGCATTTCACATCGAAACGTTACAGGCACAAATGATAACAATTGACACTGCATTTAAATTTTTGAAGATAAAAGTTGACGGGGAAACAAGAAACCGGAAGAGGGTATCACAAAAAGAATAATGAGATAGAAAAAACTGTTAGCATAGAACTTACTGTTGCATCTAGCCATTTCAACTGAAAAACAGTGAGACCTTGCCACTAATCTACTACTGCTCTTAAATTCATAAAATCAAGGTTCCATAGAGTAATATTCCTCAAAACAATTACCATAAAATTATAGTTATAATTATAATTATTCTATTTGTAGAACTGTTACAGGGAAACTACATTACAGCAGTGGGATAGTGACTGAAGTCGAGATGCCAGGTCAGGACCAATAATATTGGATTTTATGAAGAATCTCTAAATATATAACAAGAGTACCAGGCCAAATGTGGTAACAGTTATGCAAAGCGACGACGAATTGAATTCAGATGGTTTTTCTCCTCGGCGTATATAAAGTTGTTAAAATTATTGTAAATGTCGGGGTTCTGTTTTCTTAAATGCGTTAATCATAGTTGTTAGTGTGGGTAGAGAACGTCTGCTCCTCCTTGAACAGCCTTGTATCGCCCCACCTCTCCTTGTGGATTGTTAATTCTCTTAAACGAGCTAGCTTGTCTGGGCCCAACGTTCAGGCATGATGTTTCTTTGATTCCTATTTAATCGTCATGATTTCACTACTGATGTCATATATGTAATTTCTTCTTAGTCTTGGATTATTTGGCTCTTCATCAAGACTACTGGAGGAAAACGCTTTCTGGTCTGGTGCTATTCGCTTGAGAATCAGGAATACGAGTAACTCCTAAGAAGGCTTTTCTCTCAACAGACGCATAATATCGGGGCTACTCAATTGTCATTTGGTGAATGGATATTGAACAATGCAGTAGTCACCGGTGCAGCTTCAAGATACCATTATGAAGTGCACAGTTACAGCTATGCTTTCTGGCAATTAATCCAGGTAGCTTTTTTTACATGTACGACTTGTGGTGCTACTGCTTTGCTACCTACATTCCTCAACTCTCCATACCAAAATATTATCAAAACTATCACACACAGTAGAGTCAAACACAGATAGCCATGTAAAAAGTAGACCCCAGTTTCTCTATCGCCTCTACTAATATAAGAGGTCTATGCTTCGCCGATTACTACAATCTTACCTCTTCTTTTTAGCTATTCTCATAATTCACCAGTTTCTCTCTCCCTATTCACCCTTACAGCAACCTAATTTAGTAACCCTCTACCTTGAGTGGCTCTTGGATTTTGTATTCCGGGTACAATATTAAAAAAATATTTAAAAAATCTGGCATTTGCATTTTTTTATAGTTTATATGGTATATTATTTTTTGTTACTGATAAGAATCTGTAGGATTTAATATTGTGTTTTATTGTCGTATTGTTTGGTGATATGCTATTTAATTGAGTCTTGATCGGATAAATTGCAAGTTAACCGGTGAAATAATGTGCAATCAATGTACACTACAGTTCAAAAGTTTGAGAGACCCTGGTAATTTTTTAAATTGGTCCCCAAACTAGTTGTTTTGTAATTTAAATACGAAAAAATTATTATAGATGGTTAAAAAAAAAGTGAAACACTTCATTTTGTTATGACAAAAAGAAAAAAAGCATTTTATGATTAAATTTTGCTCTCGTCGAAATATCCTCCTTTAGCCTTGATTACTGCAGCACAAACTTTTGGCATTCGTTACAAAGTTTCTCAAAGTATAAGTTTGATAACTGATTCCATTTTTTTCAGTGACTCTAAGAGCATTTTTTTATTTTTATTTTTTTTTTTTTTTCAGTCTTCTGTCAAGTTCATCCCCTGCTAATTCTGGGGTAGGTTCAAACTTTTGAACTGTAGTGTATGGTTTGTTTGATTTGTTTTTATTAAATAGATATTATCCATTTATCAAATATCTATCCTGGCGCCCTCTAGGTATTTCCGATGTAATGAACTGTCTCCTTTTCTAACTATGGTGACATTTATAAAGTCGAAGTTAGGGCTTCTTTTGTTTCTGTACGCCACGAGTAATCTTAAAGGGTTGTCTGAACCTACAGTTCTCTTATGTTCGTAGGTGAGAGCTTTTAGATTTCTAGATGTTTCGTCAATAGCCCTTCCTACATTGCAGACGTTTTATATCATAAATCTAGGTATCTTATGTGGTGTTGGATCTATATTTTCTTCCTAGCTATATTTCCGATTGTTTACGAGATTCTGGTAAAAATCTTGGCATATTTACAAATTTTGTTGATAGAGTCTTGAAGGGTAAGATTATTAATTTTGTGTTTTTGTTGTCGGGAGTGGTGCCTACTTTTTGTACTTGTGAACTTTGTATGTTCGTGTTCTAGCGTTAAGGATGAAATGATATGGATAGGAAAGTAGTCTAAACTTTTTCAATGCATTTCTCTTCCTCATCTAGGGTTTCTGGTCTGCATATTCTAAGAGTTCTGAGGTAAAAACCTAAAATTTTTTTTTTTTTTTGATTGTCTGCTTGACAGAAGAGGTACCCGTAAAGTCTGCTCAACCAAAGGAAAACAGATAACATAAAATTAAAAAATATAATTTTCTTTCTCCTCTCGTTTTTCGATGAAGCTTAAATAAAAGCTAAACATATTAAATTTATTAACGTTTCCTATTTGTTCCTTATCCTATCATATATATATATATATATATATATATATATATAGAGAGATAGAGAGAGAGAGAGAGATATTGG